TAAATATGCCTTCGGATGACGATGTCACATTTTCCATTCTGTTAAAACACTTCCTAGATATTTGATTTTTTCTTCCATTGTTTGATTTTGGTATCTCCAATTTGTAATTTGCATGTTAGGCTCTCTTTTTTTATTCATAACGATACATTTTGTCTTTTTACCATTGATGTTTCATCTTTGCTTCTCGCTTTCGTTTATTACTATTTAGCAGGACAGACTGGGTTCTATAGCTTTGGATGGCAGGGGGTCTAGTGCAGAAAGAAATGACAACCTAATAAACCAAACCAATCATGTGTGAGGAGAGCATTGATTACGATATAGGAAGACCAATATTACATCCCATTTTAATACACTTTTCTTTATTTTCATCTAGATTTCTTGTTTCTTAATACTCTGCTTAGGTTTTGGAAGTCATCGTTCATTGTCTAAATACGCCTTCGGATTACGATGTCGCATTTTCCGTTCTCTGTTAAAACACTTCCTGGATATTTGATTTTTCCTTCCTTTGTTTGATTTTTTATCTTCAAATTGTAATTTGCATGTTAAACTCTCCTTTTTTTATTGATAACGATACATTTTGTCTTTTTACCATTGATGTTTAATTCTTTCTTCTCGTTTTCATTTATTACAGCCTTGTGCAAATTAATTGAAACAAAACGAATAATTCCGTTATTTTCCGTATTTTTCCGATTAAACATGACCCAGTACACATGTTAGTACGTTGTATGTCTATTCCACGAAGTCGTTCCTTGCAGATTGACCACAGATTCTCGATTGGATTTGAATCAGATGTTTCCGGGACAGTCTATAGTACTTTGATTTGCTCACTGGTAAGGCTTGCTAGTGTATTCCTGCAACGTTACAATTTTCGTACACTTCCATCGCAGACAATGGTTGTAGGACAAATAACCGACAGTCGAGATAATAGTGTCTGAGCGAGCTAAAAATTTGAAAGAGGGCTTAGAAAGTTGAACACTCGCAGGAGTGCATAGAGGATAACAGGAGAGAAGCGTATAATCTACCTATCGAATGGTTAGAACAGAAGAGATCAGCAGATAGATAGATAGATAGATAGATAGAGAGATAGAGAGAGAGAGAGAGAGAGAGAGAGAGATAGAGCGAAAAGAAAAAAAATAATATTACCCTATATTTTGTTGCAAACAACAGGAAACTGACGAAAAAACCAAGATCACCCACGTCATGAATGAGAAGGTCACATAGAAGAGAAAAAAAGACTCTGTTATTTAGTATTCCATGAAAAACAAGATGTCTAAGCCTCTCTTCATAATATACACGTTGAAATTTCAAAGCTGAATTTTATCTTTTTTTCTATATCTTAGTAAATGTAGTGGTCGGTGCATAATTATCAGGCGTTTTTATAAATAATATTTATAATGAAAAAAGAAACCTAGCAATTCAACAATAACATTTTAAATGATTATTCCGCAGCGTATGATTATCGACACGGCTTCTTATAACCTGAAAATTAAATAATATTTTATTAAAAAAAGTAAAAGAAACATCAATTTTTATTAACAAATAACCCGCCTACAAAAACGCCTGATAATTAAGTACCAACCCAATATATTATTAAAAAGGTTTCGTTAGTGGTAAACAGTTGCCAATATGGCATGGCTTTGTGAACAAAGGTTGCAAGAGATCGAGGCATGTGCATATCAAACTTGAAAGGTCCATAAGGCGTACGATTTTTTTTTTTTCCGACACTATCATTTAAACTAATTGTTTACGTGTTATTGTTCGGTGAGACAGTAAGATCGTAGGCTCATAAGTTTTCTGTGGAGCTTGTCGAAACGTTTGCCATAAATTTAGAGATGGAGTAGCGATAGAATTGCGACGGTACATCAGTGGGAAAGAGGAGTTAATTACAATAGTAATAATAACTGTGGTGAACGCGCGTCAGTACAGATGCAGAAGAGGGCCCCAGTTGCCTGCAGACATGTCTGCCAAATTAGTTACATCCGAGTTTTCCACGATTTTTAGCAGCAGAACAGCGTGGCATGCCCAGATAGGGCTGCTCTGCAAATTATCCAGATCAGTCAACTATCCCTTGTCAAGAAAAGCGGCGGGAAAAACAAAAGTCAGCAATTGCCGATACTTGGTGTCTTGTGAAGACGTTCCCTTGGCGCTTTTTTTGTGTAAAGTTGTGGGCTGTCTGCCATGCTGTGTTATATTGCTTCACTCCTCGTCTCTTTCCTTTCTCTCCCTGTTACCTTACAATTCTTAGCAGAACAATCGGTTAAGTGTTTCCCTCGACATAGACTTGCCTTATTTTACAAAAAAAATATCGAATACAACAATACTTTATGCCTATATACTTTCAGGTCGAAGGCAGTGATTGCTCTCCACGAATAACTGAAATGAATGCAATAAACTCTCATTTTTAAGCCGATAACTGTTTTGCTATCCACGCATACTAATCTAATAATAATTTTATTATGATTCTGCGTCTCCCACTCTTTGTCCTTTATTTAGCACGACCGTTACGCCCTGCCAATACCTCATAAATAATGGATTATTCTGTTTTTTATCGCGTGAAAAAGCGGAAAAGATATATCAGAGACGCTGTTTTCTTTCAACGAGAAAATGAAAGAAAACAAAAATCCAAACAAAAAATTCGTAGAATTTTCAGAGATACCCCTAGTCTATATAAATCTAATTCTCTCCCTGTACACACTGTCTGCGAGGGTATTTGAATTTACGTGGGCAATGCTTATGCGTATATCTGTGTTTTGGTTAGGTGACTCACATGTGCTTGTGCCATTTAATGCATACACGCAAACACACATATTGTCTGAAATAAAAACAGCGTCTCTGATATATCTTTTCCGTTTTTTCACGCGATAAAAAACAGAATAGTCCATTATTTATGAGGTATTGGCAGGGCGTAACGGTCGTGCTAAATAAGGGACAAAGAGTGGGAGACGCAGAATCATAATAAATAATAAGACATTGTAAAATTCCATTTCCTTCCCACTCAGTCTGGACAACATCTACCCTGACATGAGCAATAGGATCATGAATTTGAAGACAAAATTTTTATATCATTCATAAAAAGCACAAGACTCACAAAATGAAACAAAATAAAAACAACGCAGATAAACAAAAAACACTAACTTCGAGTCAAATGATATATTTGTATATATTTTCTTTATTGTTTGTATTCACTTTTCCTTTCATCTTACAAAAGCTCTTTTTTTTTCTTTTATGACATGACCGCCATGTTTATTGTTTCCATCGCATCCAATTCAATTCAACCAGATATAAATGTATATCATATCTGGCTTTTTTCCTTTATCTGTCGAAAGATGCAGCCGAACAACAACAACAACAATAATAATAATAATAATAATATTCATAATAATAATATGATTTTTCTTAAATTAAAATAACTCTAGGTCAAGTGGTTCCGATGAAATATTCACCCTTGGTGAGTAGACCAGACGAGCTATTAAGATAAGCCCTTAGACATGATATATGTTCTGCGGAAGCCCAAAGAGATATTATTGTAGAAGAAGAAGAATCAGTAGTAAGAGTAGTAGTAGTAGGAGGAGGAGGGGAGGAGGGGGATGAGGAGGAGGAGGGGGAAGATGAGGAGGAAGAAGTGGAGAAGAAGAAGGAGAATAAAGATTAAAATAAAAGAGAGGAAGAAGAAAGAAACAGAACAAAACGAAAGATGCAAAAAGAAGAACGAAGCAAAAAACAAAAAGAATATCAAAAAAGAAATGAAAAGAAAGTAGAGGAGAGAGCGGGAAAATATGGAATGAAGAAATACGTTGAAAAGACGAAGAAAAATATAGAAAAGAAAAAGAATAAGGAAGGTGATGAAGAAAAAGAAGAAGAAAGAGGGGAGGAAAAAGAAGGAGAGGAAAAAACAAAAAGAAAGAAAGGAGGGAAAAAAAAGGAGGAGAGGAAGAAAATGGAGAAGAAGAAGAAAAGCAAGGAGGAGGAGGAGGAGAGGAAGAAGGGGGAGGAGAGGAAGAAAAAAGGAAGAAGAAGAGGAAAGAAAGGGAGAAGAAGAAAAAGAAGAAAAAGAAGATGCCGCAAAGGTAGAAAAAGAAGAAAGACGATCGGTATAAAGAAGGAGAGGAAAAAAAAAGAAAATGAGGAAGAAAACGGAGAAGGAGAAAAAGAAGAAGGAGAGGAAAGAAAAAGAAGGAGTAGGAAAGGAGAAAGAAAAAAGAAGAAAAAAAAAGGATGAAGAAAGAAAGGACCAACAGAAACAAACAAAAACAGTGAATACAAAAAGAACAAAAAGAAAAAAAAAAGGAGTAAGAAGTCAAAGAAGAAAGAGCAGAGGAAGGAAAAAGAAGGAGAGGAATAAAAAGAAGGAGAGGAAGAAAAAGAAGGAGAAGTAAGTGAGAAAGAAAAAAAAGAAGAAAAAAGGATGAAGAAATAAAGGACCAACAAAAACAGTGAATAGAAAAAGAACAAAAAGAAAAAAAAAAGGAGTAAGAAGAAGAAGAAGAAGAAGAAGAAGAAGAAGAAGAAGAAGAAGAAATCCAATAGCAGTTTAAGAGAAAGAAGAAAACTGCGAATCGGAATAAAATCATAAGCAAAAAAAAGTAAACCTACTCAAGAATCGACATCAGGATATAAACGGCTGCGGATACAGAAAGCAATCAATGAATAATTTTCTCTTTTGAGTATCGAAGGCCAAATAAAAGAGACACACATTTTTGCCTTTTGGAAGTTGATATTTCTTTGCCGCAGCCATTTTTTTTTTTTTTTTGCTTATATTAACCAGCCATCTTTGTTTGCTTATGTTAACAAATCATGCCTGTGCATTCTTTGCGGAAAAATCTGTTTCGATATCTAGCCGCCTTTAGACGGTCCAATAGTATAACTGATACCAACCCCCAGAAGAGTGTAAGAAATTTGATAATAATCATGCGAAATTATTTGCCTAACTCATTTCTTAAAGGGAATCCTTTCCAATATTTCTCTTTTAGGAATCCCTTCTAGATCATATCGAAAACTTTTCTGGATAACTCTTAGATTTTTTTTTTGGTGGGGTGGAATGAACGGTAACATCAAATACAAGATAATAAAACAAAATAGGGATATGAAAAGAAAGAGAAAATGTGTCTAAATGAATGAATGAAGAAGTGCAAGAAAGAAATCGAAAAAGAATGTGGAGTGAGTATGAAAATGATACAAGCGAGGATACAGGGAAAGAGAAATATAACAAAAGAAATCTGGAAATTGAGTGTGTAGACAATAAGAGAGAGAGAGAGGTAGAGAGAGAGAGAGAGAGAGAGAAGGGTAGAGGTGGAGAGAGGGCAGAGGTAGAGAGAGAGGGGCAGAGGTAGAGAGAAAGGTAGAGAGAGAGAGGGGGGGTAGAGGTAGAGAGGTAGAGATAGAGGGGGTAGAGAGGTAGAGATAGAGGGGGTAGAGGTAGAGAGAGAGAGAAGTAGAAAGAGAGAGAGGTAGAGAGAGAGGGAGTAGAGATAAAGAGAGAGAGGTAGAGAGAGAGGGGGTAGAGGTAGAGAGAGAGGTAGAGAGAGAGGGGGTAGAGGTAGAGAGAGGGGTAGAGAGAGAGGGGTAGAGAGAGAGGGGGAGAGAGAGGGGGGAGAGGTAGAGAGAGAGGAGGAGAGGGGGGGTAGGAGGAGAGAGAGAGGGGTAGAAAGAGAGAGACGAGAGAGAGAAAGGGGTAGAGATAAAGAGAGAGGTAGAGGGGGGGGGTAGAGGTAGAGAGAGAGGTAGAGAGAGAGGGGAGGGGAGAGGTAGAGAGAGGAGAGAGAGAGGGGGGGAGGTAGAGAGAGAGGTAGAGAGAGAGGGGAGAGAGGGGGTAGAGGTAGAGAGGGAGGGGGGGGGTAGAGGTAGAGAGGGAGAGAGGGGGTGGGGAGAGGGAGAGAGAGGGGGGGTAGAGGTAGAGAGAGGTAGAGAGGGGGGTAGAGGTAGAGGAGAGGTAGAGAGAGAGGGGGTAGAGGTAGAGAGAGGGGGGTAGAAGTAGAGAGAGAGAGGACGTAGATGTAGAGAGAGAGAGTGAGTAGAGGTAGAGAGAGAGAGACGTAGAGAGAGAGAAAGGGAGTAGAGATAAAGAGAGAGAGGTAGAGAGAGAGAGGGTAGAGGTAGAGAGAGAGAGAGGTAAACGCGATGGAGGTACGGTGGAGTAACGGAGAGCGGCTCGGATTGTGGAATCGGAGAGCCGAGTTCGAATTCCGGTCAAGTTCATTACATCCACTTATCTTGTGGGATGATATAAATGCTTCTCTTCTATCCTCCTACTATAGGTAAATATCATTATCAGACTGGAACCTATAGCCTTGGAGAGCATCTGGTGTAGGAGAAACTATGCTATTTGACTATGGCTCTCAGATCCATTTTGATAATGGAAATGTTAAGGCAAGGTTCCTCTTCTTAGATACCTCATCAGTATTTTAATGATTAAAGCAACATAGTTATCAGAATCTTGAGACAAAGGATATTCATGCACAATTGACAGGAATGTGTTGTGTATCTATTTTTATGTTTGTGTGTATTTGTGTTATATATATGCATTTTTATTGGCATGTGTGTATTTCTCTTGCCTGTGTGTGATGTTGCATCAGCCATTTTGATTGAAAGCAAAAAAGCTTCTCTAAGTCGATGAGAAGAGAGCAGTTTCAGTTTGCACACGTTAAAAATGACAAACCATTTCTTGCCCCATTTAACAAAAGATTGGATGTCATTTCTGAGATCAAAATCTATTCTAGTGAAACCTTACACTCAAATGTATTGGGAAAATCGAGATGAGAAAATAAAGAATACATTTTAGTCGCTATACAGCTCCCCTGCTTAGCTACTTTGTCAGTATTTAGTTTATTCAACCAACATAGTTTTCAGAAATGTGAAACAAATATACAACTGACACGAATTTTTGGCATAAAAGCAAGCTGCGAAGGTTGGGCTGCTTCGGGCTATCTCGTCCAGGAAATACCACTGCTATTACGCCGGCAGTAGATGTGGACCCCTATGACGTTAATAGGTCATGGGATTCTGATCATGATGCTAATTTTGGTAGAAAGTCGTACTGAAAAGGAATATTGTGAGTGGTGTTATTAAGATCATTTTTTGAGTAAGAGTTTCTGTTTTGAAAATTGCCATTCGAAAGTCAACGATGAGGTTCTGCTAGATGCACGACAACCTTCAAAAAATCTAAAGAAGTGATCAAAGTTTTTGGGAATAGCGCCTTAATCATGCCGAAAACTGTTCAGTTCTTAAGTCGTGAACTGAAGAAGTGACTTCTGGCGTAATTGTGAAATTGTAAAATATTCCATTAAGTTTTTTAACAGACGACGGAAAAAGCGACACTGAGATCCGAAGGTTTATTGTGATACACAATGAAGCATTTCAAAAGCTAAGCAGAGTAAAAGATAGCAGACATAGAAAGGGAACTTCAAGAACTCCTACAGAAGGTAGTGAAGGAAAGCGTGAAGAAAGGACTAAGCATCAATTGCAAGAAGACAGAATGCATGGTTGTTAGCAAAAGGATGATCCCAAAGTGCGAATTGCAAATCAGGAGGTACCAAAATCAAACATGTGTGGAAATTTAAATATCTGGAAAGTGTTTTAACAAACGACGGAAAAAGCGACACTGAGATCCGAAAGTTTATTGTGATACTCAAGCAAGCATTTCAAAAGGTAAGCAGTCTACTGGTAAATAGTAAAAATTAGCTAGATAAAAAGAAAAGATTACTAAACTGCCATGTGATATCTGTCCTCCTGTAGAGCAGTGAGTGCTGGTCGATCTCCTCAAAAATGAGGAGCAGACGTGAAGCAAGGAAAATGTGGTTCTACAGAAGGATGCTGAGGATACTGCGGACCGAATATATGAGCAACGACGAAGTTTTGAGGAAAATAAAAGCAAAAAGAAAACTAATATTTAACATCAGGAAGAGACGATTGAGGTTTCTGTGTCATATAATGAGGACAGAAGGCTTGGGAAATCAGATATCCAAGGGCATGAGGGACAGTAGAAAACGCTTCGTATATTTAGTGAGCTTGAGTAGATGGATGGCGGGTGTGGGCTTTGGGGAAATAACAGAAAGACAAAGTTTATTAAGAGCTACAAGAGACAAGAAGTTGTGGAGAGCCTTGATCGCCTACGACACGGACACCTACATATCGTATACGGTACATAAAGAAGAAAAGAATCAGTTTTAATGCATTTGAATAGACAATGGAATCTTGTACAATCATCATTATTATTATAAGTTCCTCGACGGTGTCAATTGTCACGGTGCGGAGGGGGCTGAGTACAGATGAAACCGAATTTGATACTTCTGTCTCACGAAAGAAATATTTATATGCTAAGGACGGTATACGTAGATAAACGTGCTCGTAATAAAGACGTAGTTTCCAAAGGACAGATTTTCCCATAACACCGCTTTTTTTTACCTCCCTTCAATCTTCGGCCATGATTATTGTTTTAAAAAATGATGATTAGAATTTTAATAAAACCTTAACGTATGATTATAATGAATTTATACATTTTCTTTGTTCTTGAGAATTGACAATGATATGTTCCGGAAAGGGATATATTTGTTCGAAGTAGCAAAGTGGTTGTTGACTACTGTAACTGAGTAGGAAAATCTAGAAGGTAACCGTAATGGACTGGTCCTCGTCGTAGTGGTAGGCAATAGGCGTAGGCAATAGGCGAAGACAATAGGCTTAGTCCATGTACCTCCACGTCAGTCTGTATTTATGGCTGACACCAGCCAATCATATTACTGTTAGGAGGAACCCTGGTGTATGCATATTCATTACATCAGACAACAAAAATAATAAACATTATTTATTAGATTTGTAAGGAGACCACAATTGATTACTCTTGGGTTGAGCTTATGGGAGTTCACCCCTTTTAGAAAAAGAGAACTCTTCTACCCTTTTGTCTTTTTGCTTCTGTTTTTTGAGGAACGTTTTTTAACTTCCTGTCCAGCAGGGCGTCCACACACGTGGAAAATGGACATCATTTGCACTGCATAATATGAAGAAAAAAATAATTTTGATTCACCTAGCTACGGACGGTCAAAGGCCATAAGGCTGGTATGTTATTTCTTTGTTCGTTGTTCTGTTAAATATTCTCGTCTTTTGGACAATTTGAACAATCATTTGTTTTTAGACATGTGCAAATCATTTTAATATGTCTATATAAGATGTATTTTGACTATATTAAATGTTTTGTGTGTTACAAGCGTGTATCTCGTCTTTATTTATCCATATTCAGTGTTAGTGTATCAATGGTTACACTAATGCCAATATTAGTACTCGGTGTTCTAGAAGGCTAAAGCATTATTCTTTTTAATACTAAATAGCCGATAAACTATAGCTGGCTAATAACCAATACTAATAGATTGTTTACTTGAATGGTTGGCAAATCATCGGTTAATTGCCAATTGATTCAAACTTTATAAAATGGTAAGTAATAATGATTTCCTTATAGTTGGTTAACATATTTTTAATTTATTAAAGGTTTATAAATTAATGATTAAAAAACTGTTTTCATAATTATTTCTTTATAAACTGTTTTAAAAAGCGATGATTACAACTGGAAAAAATAAACCTATGATGAAAGTGAATTTATAAATATTTTTGTTCTTGAGAATTTATAACCAAAATACTGTTCATTCATTAGATTATTTATTTACGAGAATAATTTTACAATTAAAACATTCTAAAAACTAATGCAAGTGTATTAAAATTAATCCAGAGGAATATTTATCATTTATCTATCCATAAAGAAATAAATATAAAAAGAGTTTTTTATTCATTAATTTGTAAACATTTACTAAATTATTAAAATATATGGACCAACTATGAGGAAATCATTACTATTTACCATTTTATAAAGTTTGAATCAATTGGCAATTAGCCAATGTTCCACCAGTCTTTTCTATAAACGATTTAATAAAGAAATTGTGTAAATAAAAAATCTGAATAAATTGTTTTTATTATTTTTGTTGTCAATTCTCAAGAACAAAAAAAATGTAAAAATTCACTTTCATCTAATTTGATTTATTTTGTTTTACGTTATATGAACACCTCATTAGTTTATTGTTGAAACTTGACTAATGCATGGAATAATAATGCAACACAAAATGTACTTAGAACAAAATGTATTGAAACAAGAAAGTGTACACAATATTTACATATAGTCTTTTGTATATTCCTGGTAAGACCGTTCCTGGAGAATGTGTTGACTGAGTCGCAGTCGGGCAGAGTCTCTGGTTGAATCTCTTGATTCCTCCCTCTCTTCCCGGTACCAACCATATTTATATGGTCGGTACTCCACTATGCAAATTAGGTGGATCCTACCACAACAGTTATTTAAAGCCAAGAAGATTTTTTAGGGTAGGTTCGTATTAATAGGATATGTATTCTTTGTAAGAAATCAATTTGTAGATCAGGTTTCATTGATGTATTTTTGCAAAGAGGGTTTTTGTCGAGAGTCAAATCTATTGCCGGTAATATTGTTGTTAATATTTTTTTTCCAAAAATCCAGGGTCTCCATAAAGTTCGTGTGCACTTTAAAAATATTTATAACTTTATTTGTATTTGCGATAGAAATAATCTGTAAAAAATGTTATAAAACAGTGTTTCAACAAGATGGAGATGCTTGTCACTTTGCTCTGCGTGTTATAGAATTTCTAAATCAGGAATTTCCTAAAAGATGGATCGGAAGGGGTGGACCATTTTATTGAAAACATAAAGAAATTAATTTTCATGAAACCTTATTGTTTAAATTGCAAAGACATTTTTAATAACAAATATGAAATACAAATAAGTATCTGCAATGTTATGTATCCTATTCTGGCATCTAAGATTCAGTCACTTTCCAATCCTCGTAACGTAGCTTCCCTGTATACTTTCTATAAATACATTCATGGTACGTAAATTTTATGAATTTAAGCACGGTACGAGATTGGCAGCAATGCCTGATCATTTTACGGATAAATGTTACCGTAAGTTCTATGCTAACAGATCCTTCTATCGCACGTGTTGCTTGTGTAACTCTTTTATGTCTTCTTGTTTCCAGTCAACTTTTATCTTCAAAAATTTAAATCTAGTTCAAATGTTATCTTCTTTCTTTATAATACCTGTTCTTTTATTGTCCTCTCTCCTTAATAGTGCTTTTTTTTCTCATA